GGGGACGCGAATAGAACTATACCCTTGTATTTATATTCATCCTCATATACAGATTTACTTACTTAAACATGTTATGTTCATTTGTGTGTTTGTTGTGTTTGTCTGCATTGCTTTGACTGTCTGTCTGTCTGTCTGTTTGTTTGTGCGTCCGTGTGCTTGCTTGTTTGCTAGATAGTATGTTGTTAGTTTGTGTGCGTTTGCTTGCTTGTTTGTTTGGTTGGTTGCAATACATGCGGCATTCTTGGACTCCAAAGTGTTTAAACCGTGTTAAGACATATTACGAGATCCTCAAGAAATTCGCAGAGCAGCTCCATGTATGTATGTATATAACAGTGTGTATATATATATACATACTAAATATGTATGTATGTATGTATGTATGTAAATACACACTCAATTACTTGCTTGTATTCATATGTCGAATTACCTATCTATCTATGCCACTTTCAATGCATACATACGTATACAGGGCTATCATTAGTCGTCGTCGTCGTCGTCGTCGTCGTCGTAGTAGTAGTAGTAGTAGTAGTAGTAGTAGTAATAGGTCGTCGTAGTCGTAGTAGTAGTACAGGGTTTAAGAGGAATGGGAAGCACACATGATTGAAGCGGTTGGGGGAGATTGTGAGTCTGAAGAACCCTGCCTTGGGATAGGAGAACTTGCCTAACAGGGGGGCCTTCAATACTATGAACAAGCGCTTGGAGTCAAATAGTTAAAGGACAGAGAAAACCTACAAGGAAATACCAACAACTCAGGTAGATCATTGCGCATGCAGACAACAGCCCTGAAGCTTGCCGCATGTGACATCTCATAAGAACTTCGTCTCTAAGAGCTGTTCGGCGATATAGGTTTTCTTGGTCTCCAACTTGCATCTGAGCACCATTGTGTCAATTCGGGCTCTCAGAATCTATACACAAGGTCTTCTCCTACACCTTGTTGCAGGTTCAACTCAACGCTTTGCCAGTCTAAACTCCCGCGCGCTTACAAGCCAGAGGAAGCTTGATAGCCGCGCAGCCCCCAATCATACCCAATCCGTATACGACGCTGCAGCCGTCCAAGTAGCACAGACGTCTCGTCTGAAGACATAACAGCAGCCTCGAGGAGGAAAAGCCTTGGCGCTGTGATTAAAGGTTTTAGGTCCAAAACCTGTATCAAGAACCGCAAAGCTATAAACCCAAAGCCCTTGACGCATCACAGCCGTGTTCTTCTTCCACAGAACCGTTACATGTAAAGAGTTGAAGGTTGTACCGTATAATCATCTAATCACTCAAGATACCTCTGCAGAGCAGCGGCACCAGCAGCAGCTCGCAACAACTACCAGCACCAACAACAACCTCTCCATACCATCATCGCCGTCAGAACCATAATCACGGCCACAAGCATACTTTCGGGTTCTGCCGTCGTTATAGGATCATTCGTTGTTTGCAGACTTGCACATGTGTATTTTCAGCCAAGCTTGTGGTCCGGAAACTCGTTCATGCCCACCGTGCGATTAATGTCTACATTAATTCCGAGCTACAGGAACATCGGATATAAAGTCATACACGCATATATATATATATATAATACATAAATAAATAAACAAGTATATATATATATAAATAAATAAATAAATAAATATATATATATATATATATATATGTGCATGTACATACACACACATGTGCACGCACAGAGACACGACCCCCCCTCTCTCTCTCACGCACACATACATCAACATGGACACACCAACACGCACACACACCATAACACTCACAAAGAACACACGACGTTGTAGAGCAGACAGTGACCTGCTGCCTCCAGTACCATCTGTATAGCACCACGTCACAACTCTCCCCTCGAAACCCTAATCCTCAGAATCATTCCTGGGTTTACTTGAAGAGCGCGAAGCCCAAACAGTGTACATGAGTACCGCTGTTAAGACCTAGGCCATTGCGGGGCCGCAATTTGGGGGCAACCCCTACGCTCTGAATCGAAACTGCTCCAAAGCCCCGAAGCTCCAAGCCCTAGGGTTTAGGGTTTAGGGTTTAGGGTTTAGGGTTTAGGGTTCAGGGTTTAGGGTAGGCCCCAAGCCCCAAAAGTGATTCCAATATCAGCTCAGGCTCATCCAGTCGATGAGGACAACGACCAGGTCTACCAAAAACCAAGATCGCAGATACCTTTAGGGGAACGGTTTCTCGATACCACAAAAAGAGCCTGGGTTCTGGGTTTAGGGTCGGGGCTTTCGGGCTTAGCGAGTGTAGGGTTGAAGGTTTGGGTTGGGGGCTTACTTGCACCCTTGCTTTGGTTAGGGTTTAGGGTTTAGGGTTCAGGGTTTAGGGTGAAAATATCTACATGTGCATTAACGGGGTCTACCTAGGATCAAGGACTGTAGTCAACTTACTCGTGACCAAACTACTTCACTAGTCAAAATAACCATAATCGTCAGTTTGGTGTCTATGCCCAAGAGACGCTCGAGCTGTGGGGAATCAGGGTGGCTAGCATTGAACTTCAACACATTCAAAGAATATACGGTTTAGGGTTTCGGGTTTAGGGGTGAGGATCGTGGCTCAGAAACACGGACAAACTCAACAACCTCCCCGCCATCGCATGCCAACAACACACATGAGTCTGTTGGTCGATCGCTTCTGTACCCGGACCCTACTGCCACCAAAAAAATGGCGGATCCGAAATCTGATGGAAGGGTTGAGCACGGCTCGCTGAACTAGAGTCCTTTGAAATTTACACCTGTGGTTCGGGGGAAAGTGTATGGTCTACAGTTTCCTTCTTAGCACCTGATTGCGCTGGCTGACTCTAGTGAGCCTGTGCCTGCATGTACTTGCAGAGTCCTGTGCCGGCTTGCCCGACAAGACGCTCAGTCAGTGTAGGCACCAGCACCAGATTAATCCCCAAACCCCTAAACCCCTAAACCCCTAAACCCCAAACCCCCGAAGCCTCATATTAAAATCGATTTCGGCGGGATCCTTTAGAAGGATATGCCGTGCCCCAAGGGTCCTAAGTGTGATGCGAAAACAAGTCATGGGAAGCCTGTCAAATCAAAGCCATAGATTCAGTTTCCACATCCCAGAACAACCTCACAGACGAAATGACCCTTAAAAGTAGGGGCCCTATACCCTTATACTATGAATCCCTATATGGTATATGAACCTTAAACCCTTTTATGGTTCATTTCGTCCTTAAGGTAGATTCAGGCTCCACATCCCAGAACAAAGCCCAAACCGAACACAAAAACAAAACCAAACTCGAAACACCAAACCCAGTGCTAAATCCAGAAACCCATCCCCAAGGGTCCATGTACCCAAATAGTAGATACTGTGGCCCCAAAGTACCCAAATAGGGACTACTTTAAGGCCAAAGTAGCTACTATTTGGGCACATGGACCCTTAGGGCATACAAACCCATAGCCGCTTCCTAAATCCAGAAACCCATGCAAACCCATAGCCGCTTCCCTGAGGGTCCATTGGCCTGCATCCTAAATGATAAGATACCTTGGCCCTAAAGTACCTATATGCTATAGTTGCTATAAGTACCTTAAGGGCCTTAACACAATTAGAACAGGCTCTTGAAGTTTTTTTATATAAGCGGAGCATAATTAATGTGTTATGGAACAATATTACTCCAGAGGGTCCACATATACTACCATCATGGAATTAGGCCTTGAAAGACCATCCCTATTATGGTTTTGGGGACCAAATTCCATAATAGTAGTGTATATGGACCGTCTTGGTACTCATCCTCCAGGCCCCATCCTACGTAGACCCCGTTGGGCTTCGGTTTAGGGTTTAGGGTTTAGGGTTTAGGGTTTAGGGTTTAGGGTTCAGGGTTCAGGGTTCAGGGTTTAGGGTTCACGGTTTAGGGTTCAGGGCTTCGGTGTCGCTGGCAAGGGACAGCTGGGCCAATTTTTGAGGCCGCAGCTCCGTCGTTCCCTCGAGCCTGACGTGCCAAAGCGCTGCATTTTCGGGCCATTTCGGTAGTAGGGCGTAGGATAGAGTCCATTCTTGAGACCCCCTGGAGTCTTCGTGAGACCCATAAAAGCTTAGGACTCTGGTTCAGGTTTTGAGTTTGCTGATGGCTTGGGCGCCAGGGCTAGCAGTTCAGTGCTTCAGGGTTCACTAGAGTCGAGGGTTTGGGGTTAAGCGGCGTGGGACGATGATTAGAAAGGCGCGCGTAGAGAGGGACTTAGGCTTGTTTAAGAGCATTCTCGAACGGGCGTCGGTCAGAGTTCCGAGTTGGACAATCCGTGCGGTTTAGGGTTTAGGGTGAACCTGGATCGGACCTTCTCTCACAAGCTAAATCCCAAATGACATCCCTCCAAATCCCAAACCCTAATGGGTAAACCTGAACAAATATCGTACTAGCGGTACATTTCACAAGGACCATAAGGGCATAATGCGATTTTTCAACCATCACCAGCATAAATATTGAATTTTGCAACTATTATACAAGCATGCCAAAAATGATACTTTTAATATCATCACTATAACAACTGATGACATTATCAGTATGAACACGGTTAAACGTGTTGATAACCTTATCATAACAATGATATGAAGCTGTGTTCATACTTGCCCAACCACCCCCTCGCATTGGCCCCAAACACTGAAAGCCCTTAGCCAAAGAAGCTGCACGCCGAAGAAGAAGTGCAGCGGGATGTCCACCATCCAGAAAACCTCACTTCCGTTCTCGTACTCGGAACCCTAAACCCTAAACCCTAAACCCTAAACCCTCACTTCCGTTCTCGTACTCGGATATAGGGTCTCGGCTTTAGGACCCCGCAAATAGGAGCCTTAAGACTTCCGCTGTTTGCCGTTTTCGGGGAGTGTATCCAAAAAGTAGGTTTAGGGTTTAGGGTTTAGGGTTTAGGGTTTAGGGTTTAGGGTTTAGGGTATCTTATAGTGAGCTCATACCAGTAACACTAAGGCTTCGTATGGACATCCATTCAGGCTTCTATGGCTCATTCCCTAAACTTCTATGTTACCATTATTTTTCAGCCCTAAACCGTATATACAATAAGTCGCAAACTGTCCCTGACCCTGTAAGCCCTAAATTTCCCTAAACCCTAAACCCTAAACCCTAAACCCATAAACCCAGGCGGATAGGGTCCCAGCATAATACCACCTATAGTCTCCATTGTAGCTCCTCTTTGGGTTTAGGGTTTAGGGTTTAGGGTTTAGGTTTTGGGGATACCTTATAAATTCCCTTAAAATATAATTGGTTAAACCAAAAAAAAGCAACTACAATGGAGACTATAGGTAGTTTTCTAAACCCTAAACCATATACAGAAGACCCCTAAACCCTAAACCCCAAACCCTAAACCCTAAACCCTAAACCCACCAAAGACGACATCGAGACTCCGGAGTCAGCAAGTAATCTAGCTTAGGACTTTGGGATTAGGGTGTCAGGTTTAGGGTTAGGGTTTAAGGCTTAGGGCTTCAAGGGTTTCGGGCTTAGGGTAACTTGGTGTCGTTTGAACTGCGTTTAGGGTTTAGTGCTTTCGGTTTTGGGGTTTAGGGTGTAGGCCTGAGGGTTTTACGGTTGAGTTTTAACTGTTTAGTAGGGTGTAGGGCTTTGGGTTTTAGGGTCAATGGTTTAGGCCTTAGGGTTTTGGAGGTTAGGGCTTCGGGCTTAGGGTTTCACGGCATATGTACACGGAATCTGAGAGGCGAGACCGAGAGCTGTCGTCTTTTAGGAGCGTAAGGCATAAAACAAAAACAGTTGATTGTGAAGTAGACAAATTTAGACGTGTATCCATTTCCCCGAAACCTGCTCGAATCAGCCCATCAGTCGGGGTGAGGGCTTAGGGATATGATGGCCCGGAGTTTAAGATTTTCGGATGTTGGATCTGTGCGTATTGTCTCATGGACGCAAACATGATGCCCTAAACCCTAAACCCTGAACCCTAAACCCTAAACCCTAATTTAAGGCATAATTGGTCCCAAGGAGTTTTCAGCCTGAAGGAAGGCTTCAGGAATTGTGGCTTACTTCTGAAAAATCTGAAAATATGTACCCCCAAATGCTGCAGAGATGCCCATGAAAAGATGCCGACCGTGTCCAAGACCACGCCGAACTCAGGAACATTGAACATCCTTTGCCAGGTGACAGGGTGTTGGGATAATATCGGGGCCTTAATAATTAGAAGAGGGTTTTGGGGATATTCTACTATAATTTACAATAAAGAATCCCTCAAAACCTTATTCTAAATATTAAGGCCCCTACATTGCCCTACACTAATTCATCAGGGCTTATAAGGCTCAAGGTATTAAGCCTTCCCGGTCGAGCGGTTCGAGGCGTAGAAGGCAGGGTTTGGCGCTGGTTGTGAGTTCTGCTCTGTGCTTGCTGGAAGGATTACTCTAATTTTAGGGTTAGGGGTTTAGGATCCTAAACTTTCTTCTTACACAAGGTCGAGTTTAGGGTTTAGGGTTTAGGGGTTTAGAGTTTCGGGGTTTAGGACCCTAAACTCTCTTCTTACACCAGGTCGAGCCGTGAGACCCCAAGCATAGAGGCACCGACAGAATCACCATCATTTGGGCAGAGCAGTAGACACTCTAAACGGGTTTCTGGGTTTAGGGTAAGGGCTTTGAGTTTAGGGTTCAGGATTTAGGCTTTTAAGGACTCCGGTGTTTCCCTGTCAGTCGGACTGACCCAATACATTCCGCACGATAGACACAGCAATGCTGATGCGAAAATGCACCTGCAAAAACTCCCAAACCCTAAGTTTCGAACACCCAACCAAAAAATCGAAATCCTACTTGACCCGAAACAGCATCTTCTGCAAACTTTAAGATCCTGTTTGAAAGCCGCTTCTACTAAGAAGACCATCAGTCAGTCGAATCGAGGAAGCCCCTGTACACTGTGAAAACCCTTATAAACACGAGAGGATGCCAAGAAAGTTTAGGGTTTAGGGTTTAGGGTTTACAACGAACAAGAAAGACTAAGAAGAGCTCTGAGCTCTAAAACTGTAAGTAGATACATTATGGCACCGTATGAGTCCCAAAACCCTAAACCTAAACCCTAAACCTACACCCCATAAAACCCAAAGCCCAAAACCCGAAGCATCCCTAAACCCGAAAGGACAGGCAGAGTGACTCCAGTGGGATGGTTATGGCATCCCAGAGGATGAGTAGAGAGCAGACGATGGACCAAAGCCTTAGCCACCCGTCCAAAAGCTGGGTTGCTGCTAAGGGCTTGGGGTTTAGGGCTCTGGGTTTAGGGTTTGG